AAAATGTTTTTTCTCACTAGGCTTTACTTGGAAATGCTAAGGATGTGTCACCCCCTCCAGAGAATGACAGGCCAACAACCAGACCTTCTTTAACAGAGGACTAAGTTGTTGTTATACAGCCAATAAAAAACTATTGAGGTGGAATCAACCACAAAACCATGGGTCCTCTGTCTGTCCAGCTCCCTTCCCAGGCACCAGAAACCTTAAAATCCTGACCCTGGTGACAGACTGCAGTAGCAGCCAAAAGAGCACAGACATGGTTGCTGCCCCCTATACCTGCCAGACAATTTCCTCTCCTAAAAAAGCACGCAGAACTATGGAGTAGAGTATCTTCTCCTCTCTATTTCCTTTCTGTTTCCCAGGCTATAAATATAGCTTCATCCATGGTCGTGGGCTCTCTTTCATGGGACTGCTTTAACATACCCAAAATTATCAAAACCTTTATTATTACTGCAGCTACCACTATTAACTGTTTAAAGTTTGGACACTAAAAATTCCATGTGTTGTACCTTAAAATTATTATGTTTTCTTAGAAAATGCTTAATCAAACTATACAACTGGCATGAGAGAAAGTCTATAAATGGTAGCGAACTGGACAGTTTCTGAATGCTGAGCACCAGTATGAAATTAAAAGTGAAGTTTCAGACTCTTGCCTGTCCTTCTTTGGAACATAGCATCAATGAGTTTGAAGAATAAAAAGTGAATTTTGATCGATTCTGCTGCTTACTTTAGAAAACTGTATACGTAGGTGGAATGTTAACTTTCTCAGGGCTATGGCTTGTGAGATCTTTTTAAATAAGGTAAGAAATCCTTTAAGCTCCTGATTTCTCCCAGAATTGTCAACACTGATACCTGTATTCAGTGGCAAATCTGCAAACTCAATGAAGTCTTAAAACATTAACAGGGATAGACATCTCTAAGCAGGAAAACAAGTAAAGAGGGTCCAAACTCCCAGACTTTGCCTACTGCTCCTCTAGCAGAATCAGATCATTTTCCCCATATATCTACAGATAAGTAGTTTTCAATTACAGGCTCTCGAAAATATTTTAAGTTTTGAGGTCTTTGCATGTACAGCAAGATTCTTATGAGTGTACCAAAAGGAAAATAGCATCTAGGACCTACTGCAGTAGGTCTTTATCTCTAAAGCCTTTGCCTTTTTTTTTTGTTTTTTTTTTTTTCCCTAAGTAAACAAACATCTATCCAAGACAATAGCTCTGTGTGACCCAGCCATTAAAGCTGAGAATGTTGAGTTATCAGAGGAAGTGGGTCTATACCTGCTAAGGTAGCAAGAAAACAGTATCCTCTGTACTGACCTGAGGAAGGGTAACTACTAGTCTGCATGCCAGAAAAGCTTCATAGTACTGCAAAGTATCCTCTCAGTCATCACTGCACTTGGGTGAGTTGCTGTTTGATTTCAGCAATAGCTTTAGGAGTAGCCAAGGCCACAGAGGCACTAAAAGCTAGGCATATTTCAGCAGAGAGGCAGAATTCTTTATTTGCAATTCTCAAACCAGCTGAGGATTCAGATTTGCTTCCAGTCACAAATAAATAAAGGCTGAGTTTTCTAGCCGAGATGGTGGAAAACACCTAGTAGTGCTAGTTAAATGAGAGAGAGAGAAAGAGAGCAAGAAAGACACATTCATTTTCAAAGCCAGAAGTAAAGACATCCTTTTGGGTCTAGTGTATTCATTCACGTGTGCGCACACACACGGAACCAAATCCAGTTTGTGCCCCTGCTACTAACCTCTGCTGGCATTTACATAATGCCAGTCTAGACTACTGTGTGATACATAGCAACCTGGATATTCCTCAGCATTATTAACTCTTAGACTGAGAGCACTGGACTTGAAAGAAACACATAGCACTGCCAAAACATGTCTTTGTGTAAATACTGAGTCTTCACCATGCCTTTTTCTTCTTTTGGTTTGGTTTGGATTTTTTTTTCAATTAAAAAAACCTGAAAATACTGCAGATACTCCAGAAGACTGGGGTAATGTGATATGATTATCAAAGGAAAGATGTAACATCAGCCTGGAAGTTTACAAATGCACTATTCTGTTCTAGATATAAGTGAGATCACATACAGTAAGCAAATAGGATCACTATTCACAATAATGAACACTTTATTTCACAGATTATCTCAAGCGCAGATGGACCAAAAATATCACCAAACAAACTAAAACCACAAAACCCAATTTTTTTCCCCCAGTTGACCCTTTACACAATAAATTAGTTTTATGTGACCATGACTTAGAAGAATTCCAATTGCAGAGAGCAAAGTGTAAAGGTTTTAAATGGTGTGGTTGTTCAGAAGAAACCTAGAGCCTTCCCCTTCCCTGCACAGGCACCAACTTAATTAATTGTAAGGAACCTGGTCGTTATGCAAATGAATTCAGTCCTGTGATTGGTTATTGCAGCAGTGAAGGTTCTCAGACACTAACCACACAAGTTCTGAAAAGAGCAACAGGCATTTGCTCTGTGCAGTCTACCCCATCAACTTTCCTTTTACTGTTTGTTTCAAAAAGAGTCTTTCAAAACTTGATGGTTCCTGACACCAGAATGTATAAAGGAGTAAAGTCACATCATGTGAACAAGACCTCTGGCTAAGTGAAATAACATTTCTTGTAGCGCTTATCTACAGACTATAAGATGAATTGCTGGACAAATTAACTAGTCTAGTAATATATTTACTTCATATTAACTACTCTGCAATCTGCACAGCATATCTACATGCAAAGACCTCCACTCTGCACTTATGTCTGATATATTTAAGACATAAAACTTAATGATAGTCTTCTGTTCATTCCACTTAGTTATTTTAATGAAAAAATCAGTCCTGTTATTTAATAAAGCTCATTCATCCACTTCTAAACTAGATTGTCATGTCTGTTTTAACTTTTGAGGCCATGCAATGTCATACCTACTTAAAATTTAACAAGGCAAACACCTTCCTCAGCAGGAAGAGAGTACATTTATTTTCCAGGGGAGAAAAGCTACACAACGTCAGTTTTGCTTGGACAGAGAAAGCAGATAAGTCTAATATCTTAAGCTATTTTGACCAGTAAACTTAGTATTACGAAAAGTTTTTCCACAACACAACAAAGAAAGTAGTTTCAAATAAATAACAACTTATTTCATTTACCTTCTCTTTTGTTTTTTGTGATTTTAAGTTTTGGAGTGTATATTTTCAACTTTGTATACACAAGACTGTAAAACAAGTTTGAGAAAAGGCTAAATCTGATTATCCCTTCTAGTTTCATAATTCATTCATAACTCAACCAATATCAGGTAGGCAAGGATGCCCCAAATTTGAAGGATTTAAAACCCACTGTAACTTGAAACCAAGTTTAGCTATAGAATCTTACTTAGCTTAATTTTTAGAGAATTCTGAGGTGGGGACACGCTTAAAATCTGTTTGTGCATCAAAATAACACTAACATGGGAATTTAGGCAATCCAAAGATGAGCTCTAACAAAAAAACAAAACAAAACAAAAAACTAGAAACATGAGGATATAAAACATAGTCTGTGCCCTCCATATAATTCAACTGAGTGCTGCTTACTTTTCTGGGTAATTGGAGTTACCATCAATTGCTGATTTTTTAATATTGTTGAATAGGCAAAAGAAATGCAGTGGGTAGATAAATAAGGCTAGTACTGGAAAAAATACTTTGTTCATTTACTCTAACTATATGAATTCTTAGTTCTAGTTATCCCAAAGAACTGTAAGATATTTTTGTTAAAATGATGAAGTCATAGGAAGAAGAGATGACACCTAAAATACTCTTGATTATTCTGAAACATTAGCTGGGAAGTCGGTGGAGTAGGTATATTTTGATTTAACATGTTTGGTGCTCAAATTATTACAAATTTTAACAGAAAATAGAATTATGGTTTTAACCAGAGAGTGAATGAATTTTTATGCTTTGATTAGATTTAATTTGGTTTTGTTTTTTTTTTTTTTATTTTTAAATAAAAGAGTATTATTTACTGAAGCAACAACTACCACCCATTAAGGCTAAGGTAACTAATGTAACAAGACAAAGAGGTTCAGATGCAAAGACAATAGTATATGCTAACTTTCAAGAAAATTATGTCAATGTAGAATTCTCTCTTTAAGGATAGTCTTAATTTATGATCCTTTCAAAGTGTAGCTATTTCTGTCCTGAACATAAAACAGAGGTCTGAACATACAGCCTCAGAATAAGGCTCTATCTTAAAAATGAAATGAATTATATTAGAATGGTCCCTGAAAAAATTTGAACAACCCAGAATTCTGTAACACACTTTGAATTGTGAGATATTTAGTATTAAAAGTAATATGCCATATCTATGACTGTCTTGACACACACTGTGCTCTGTAAGGATCAAATATGCAAATACACATGCAATAGTGAAATATTTATAGTAAGAAAAAATGTATCATCACCAAATCAGACTATATTTTGTAAAAATATATTCTCTAACAAAAAAATCAGAATCAAGGAGACGCAAGAGAGTTAAATTCTCCCATTATTATAGCTGAAAAATTAACAAATAATGAGATACAGAAGCCAAAGTATTAGTTAGCTCAAACAAGAATGAAGATGCAACTCTCAAACTCTTAAGAGAAGCATTATCCTGAGAGGGGGAAAAAAAATATAAAAAAAAAAAAAAAAAAAAACAAGAAATATTTAGAATCATCCTCTTTCTTTCACCTCTGCCTCCTCATTAGTATGGGTTTGAGGCTCTTTCCTCCAGCAGCAGGAGCCAAGCTCCCAAGCAAGTGGCACACTTTGTTCTATGTTCTTTCAGGATATGGAATTCCTTTCCTTGTAACCTCTAAAAAAAAAAAGAGTTAAAACTCTCATCCTGACTCTCTTGGGCTGTATAAGAACATTTCCATCTGAACTCACATCACTAAGTGCTATAGGGTTACAAGTTACCTAATCATGTGAAAATGATCAAAATATTGGAAGATATTGATTAGTCTGATCAAACGTAAAGTTTATATGCACTTACTCCCAAAATTCCATCACTGGAGAAGTGGCATTTTGTAGAGACAGTTGACTGCAGTTGCTCATATTAAGTTTTTGAAATTCCACACAGTTTTCTATAAAAGAACAAAAAAAAAAGTTTGTTATATTGACATGTAAGTACATTTCTTCTTGTGAGTTGTCCAGTTAATGCATCTTGTAAAGCCACCATTCTATAATACATTTTGTCTATGTGGTTAAAGGATTTCTAGGTGCACTAAAATGCCACAGCTGCTACTTCTGCAACACTGTATTTTGATCACCAGATCACAGGCCTATCCCAGAAAATCATCCATGCAGTATGCTACATTCCCCTATAACACTTCCAAAAGGCACAGTTGCAATGTCAAGGGACAATAAAACATCCGAGGCAGAAGAAAGACGCTTTGAGAAACTGAGGCAATTGACTAAGAATTACAACATATTCCTACTCCAACTGCTCGGTCAACGGCCAATGGTAACAACTGGCTTATGAAACACTGCCAGCAACAAGTTTCCACTTTGCCTTAATATGGCAAGTGAAAAGTCGCTCTGGCTTATTATTATCTCTAATACAGAGAAAGGAGATCAAAGCAGCTCAGCGTTGTTGAGTTGACACTTAGTATTTGAACAGCGATCAACATTGGCTAAGCTCCTTGGCAGACTTGCCAAAACCGATACTGAAGCCTTCCACATCTATTGGGCCCAAGACTAATTCCCTAACATAACTTAAACTGCAAGATTTCAGATAGCTTTAGGTGTGCTCAAAGAACACAATAATGACCAATTAATAAAAACCATGAAACACAGTACACAACTGGTACATGATTTGAAATTGGACAGAAATATAAGGAATAAATGCAAAAACTTCAGGAACACTGAAATAAGGGCGTTGGTATGGACTCCTTCCATAGATGATTATGATCTTCAGATGCAATAAGTAGAGCATTACAGACAAAAATTATCAATGAGAGGACAGATACAGAGCCCTATACTGCAAACCCTTATGAATGCACACCTCATCTTTCATGTAAGAGGCTACTTTGCATGCAACAAGAATTATTTATGTGACTAAATTTTCAGAATTAGCTTGACGAACATTATTCCTCAACATCTGGCATTAAAAAGAGCGAATCCAAAGTTCCACATTTAATATTTTCCTCTCCATTTAAACTCCTGATTTCATTAAAGTGAAAGAGCAAGATTGTAACCTGTTATCAGCTCTTCAGTAGAATTCACTTACTGTATTCAGGGAAAATACATATGATTGCAAATGAGAGTCTTGGGATTTAGCAGAATATCTTACAGAATTAACAAAATCCAAAGTCATCTTCTGCTATCTGCCATTATATTCTGCAGGAACAAATGTTTATATAATGACCTAAACGAAAGAGGTATGAATAAGTGTTCACTCCAGGATCCCTTTATCGTGGTGTAGTGTGATGTGATCGGCCAATTTCCACAGACATTTCTCCCAGAATAGTTTTGTTCCTGACATTTTTAATATATTCATCAATTACTTGAAAGTATTTGTATAGCAATAATCTCTACTGAGATCATACCTGTATTCCATTCATGCCCACAGGTAGCCCAAGGAAGTTCTGTAGTAAAGCAGTTAAACAAATAGAAGATAGCCCATGCTAAAATGATGATATAATATACATTTAGGTGTGCCTCTATAACTTGGGTAGCATATCCAATGCCTAGAGAAAAATAAAGTGAGACACAATAAGAAAATTTATTTTTCAGGTAATTTAAAAGCAGATGCATGTTACTTTAGGTATATCTTAACTTCAATCTTGATACAATTCATTTTACTTCAAATTTAATGCATTCTTTCTCAGTAGAACACGGAACTGTTTGTTACCTTCAAATAGAGGGCAAACTTTCCTCCAGCATGTAATGCCTCCTTCACTAGTAAACTGTCCCAAGGCTGTCTCCAAGAAAAATACTGGTATTCCACAGCAAATAAAAAAAACCACATATGGGATGAGGAAAGCACCTACAAGCAAACATTGAGGGGGTAATGGTTATAATGAATAAAGTTCCTTGAAAGCATACTTGAGAAATTAATTTTCTTAGTAAAGGAAAGGCCATCTATTAGCCATCTCTCAGGCATTGTCCTGAAAGTGCAGCAAGCGTTTACTCCTGGCCCCAAATATCAAGTTAACCTGTAAGTCAATGTCACGAACTAAAAAAGACCAAAGTTCCTCAGTATAGACTAAACTCTGTTCATGTGTCTCACAATCCTGCTCCGATCACCACCAAGTCAGTCTACACTATGTTCTCTTTCTTGCTTTTCTCAGGAGAGCAGGGATGAAGAAATGTTATGGAAATTAAATCCAACAAGTCCTTTGTATGTTATTTGGATAAGCCTGATGATAAGGATTATGAAAAGGGAATGATGAAATACACTTTAGAGCTACTCACAAGAATAGGAAAACAGAGCTTGGCCTTATCATCTAGAAACATTAATGTGAAATTGTAGGAAAATAATAAAGCATCAACATTTTTGTTAGATGCTGACAGTAAACTCTAGCATAGACAATGAATAGTACAATTCAATGCTGAAGCGTTGCATACAACAACACAAATCTTCCCTTTTTAATACATAGCAGAAGTATTGTATTATTTAATGATTGATCATGTTATAGGCATGGCACCTAAGGAACTGTGAAATATACAGAAGCAAAGTCATGAGAGGAGATACATACTTTAGGCCTAATATCACTTGCTAATGATTTATATTTTAGGTATTCCATTTAGAACTGGACCTAAACAATAAGGAATGAAATACAGCCTTCTGACTACAGAGAGAATCCATTAACATATAAGGCATAAAGAATTTTTTTCCTCCTTCCTCAAGTACTCAAACTTTCTGATGAGACAAACAATGAGGTAGAAAGCAAGCAGCTATATTTGTTTAGACTGAAACAAGGAAAGGAGGAAATAAATACTGAGAAGAAAGCACAAAATAACTGATTCTGCCATTTTTACTTACACCAAGAAAGTTTCCCTGGTTTAACCAGGCAGACTAGTGCAGCAAAGTACCACACAGAATAATTTATCTGAAGTCTTAGAAAAATTACAAAGCATTAACTAATTAAGTTATGAAAATAAAGGTTAGTGCAACATCCATAATGTGCTGTAGACCAGCCTCAACCTACTAGCTCCCTAACAGATAATCTCACAACACAAGCTTCATTTAAAGCTCCCATTAAATGATGTAAGTATCCCACCATCCGTTCTATTTCAAATCAACACAAGAGGTGCTAAACACACAAAAGTTTTGGTGGATGCAGTTTTTCCTAGGACGATGAGTTTCACAGTGCTGTGCATCATTCCATACATTGATCAGTTCTTTAGAGCACCAGCAATAGCAGCATTTCCTTCCTTCAGTGGGAGTCTTGAAAATAAATTTGATCATTAATGAGCAGCACACCTTAATAGCTACCCTCTCTAATACTAAACCTCTGTCAGAATATTAGCTATGAACAAAATGTTTCTGAATATACTTCAGGAAAATTTCTACAACAACAAGGCAAATAGGTATCCCATTCATGATCTTAGAAAACAAAAAGAAAACCCACAGCAAAACCCAAACACCACAACACACTCATAAACTGCAACACTTCTTATGCTTTAGTCACTTTGATTAGAAAGTGGAGACAGCTAAGTACAGCTGCTTTGACTTGTAGTTTCTTTCTTCAGACCCAGCACATCAAAAGAGATTTCTTCATGAGTAGTCTCTTCCCTCAACCAGGCAATCTGCCTATAGTTGAATCTCAGCTGCATCTCCAGCAGAACACATGGATTTCCCAAAGAATGGAATCTTTGCATCCAAAACATGGTTTCTCTGTGTAATTTACTGTGTAGGTGCTTTTAAGAAAATCCTTATAGGCCAGGTAAACTACTGGCCAGTCTCAAATCCAGCTTGGTCCACTCATACAGACGATCATAGCAAGTTTAACATGGCAACTTGTTGAAATTGAAAGCATTAGTTTTGATTCTATTTTTCCAACACTGTTCTACAACAGCTATAGATTGTGAAAATTAGAGGACCTCAGGTTTCCCAGCTTGCAAACAGATCATATTCTAAGAAATATTTCATTATAAACACAGATATAAGTTAGTTTTCCTAAAAAAAACCCACTAAATATCCGTGAGAACTAATTAAAATTAGAGGCTTATGCCTACACTACCTGTTATGACTCAAAGTATCGGAGAGAGGTCAGACCTCAGAAGGTCCATGCTACTGCTTCTAGATTCATCCTGTATCTAGGAAGTTATTTCATAACTAGCTCACATATCTTACAATTGTCTTCACTTACCACACACTAAGTAGTTTTCAGTATTTACATCTGATGCATCAAACAAGTCCAACTCTGGTCTAATTCCAGCAGGGCATTCCAGAGATTTACAAAAACACAGGTCATAGACCAAGTCCTTATTGAATGAAATTGAAGTCAATGTCAAATTTCCCATGCTGCCAGGACATGGACAATTAAACCACACACATTAATTCTATCCTTAAAGAATAGAGTGGTGATTAAGTATGACATCTAAGTAATTACTTTTTCACCAAATCACCCAAAAACTTCGTTAGAAACTTTTTTACCTAATGTTGTAGCCTTAAAAATAATAACATCACATTTTGACAAGACAGCATATACATACAAATGGGCATATAAAGGTTACTGTATAAATAAGGAAATCTTCATGATATGCCAAAAAACTCTTTCATTCTTTTTCTCTGCCAAAATTTCTCTGGGAAAAATTTGACAATCGACAAGAAACTGTTCTGCATATCATATCCAGCATATTAATATTTATGTACTAACACCAGTACTTGGTAGCATCATTGTGAAAACAGGTGGAGTCTTGTTATCTCAGTTTTGCCCAAGCAGAGATATGTAAAGGACCTGCAAACCACAAACACATCTTCCACGGTAGTATTAGCCTTATAGAAACAGCAGGCAAAAATAGGCCAAAGCCATCCCTGAGTTCAGACAACCGTGCCTAGTTTTGAAGGGATAAGGGAAAGAAACTTGGCACAATATTGTTAACAAACAAACCTATTAAAGAACAGATCTTTGCATATCAGTTGCTGAACATATTATTTTTCTTCCAGCGTATGTGCTTACACTAATGCTGATCCAGGCTGCAAGGGGGGACAATGTTGAATCCAATCCACAGAATTCTAAACTACGTTTTTGATTTACTTTTCTTTCTTTATTGCTTCTCAAGTCATAGCTGACATACTTATTCTTAGTTGTCACATATCTTACATGGTTTATACTTAACTATAGCCAATAGATGCCACATGTTATACTTTTGTAGATGTTAAGTCTGTTCTTTTCTCTCTCAAATAACATTTGTACTCTCAGTTTTATAGGGTTTTCTCTCTTCTTTGAGTAACAGGGAGCTTCTACATCTTCCTCTACACTACTGTAGTGATTTGGGAAGTAATGGGTTAAAAAAAGTATGGTTGAATTAAAGAAATTTTCATATGACAAAGAAAAAAGTAATATTTGTAGCATTATCAAAAACAATATTCATCCTCTCCAAAGTATACTTCTGTGAAAAATAAACTACTACATTCTTTTCTACATCAGACAAACTTATCTAAGTACGCTTGGGTCTGTATTTACATGAAGAAAACACACATCGTACTATGATAACAGGACATGGGCTTCTTCTGCATTAAAAATCTTGCAGAAGAAAATATCTCAATTTACTAACACAAAAGAAACTTGTGAAAGTAAGCCACACAATATTTGGAGAGGAGAAGGAAAGAGAAACACAACAATTTTTTTTCTTACTTGTCAGATACTTAATACTTCCCTAGCCACAGATACACTGAAATCCTGAATACCTATCTCTTATTAGTGCAGGAAATCACTGTAAAGCATTCTTAACTGTTTATTTTCCACATGTTTATGGTGAGCTGTAAAGCAACATATGATACCATCTTACCTCCTCCGTTCTTGTAGCAAAGATATGGGAATCTCCATACGTTTCCCAACCCAATAATCTCCCCTGCCACAGAAAGCACAAATTCAACCTTATTGTTCCAGTGACCTCTTTCATGAACTTTCTTATCATTTCTGTGGACGAGGTTGGTACTTGAAGCTTCTGGGTCCAAAGCATCTTCTGGCTTGCCATTAATTATAGGAATAGTCTTTTCAGCTGTCATGACTGTTCAGCCTAGGGGACAACAAAAGAAAAACATACAGATGTTTTAAGTCATTTGCTAGTAATAACCTTCAGTGACTAAAGAAGTCCTTCAGCATGTCATTGGCTTCTTATTGCCTACCTAAATTTGCAGGTGAAAGTGAAGGAGGCAACCCCATAAGGCTGGAAATGTTGTAAAGAAGGAATAAAAGGAAAGGAAAGGGGGAGGGGTGGGGGGTGTGGAATCAGACTATGTACAAGGGAAGGAGAAGATTTCCAAGTTGAGACAGACAACTTAGTAGTACGACAATATTTTAAGGCACAGACAGTGAAGCCTTTCAAAAATCCCTCCCCAAGCAAGGATCCCAGCTTGACTAACCTACCAGATGGCAGAGATCTCCCCGGCACACAATCGAGCGCCGAAGAAGAAAGAGATGGGGAGAAGGGGGCCCGAACGGCTCTGGCCTGCCTGGAGGAGTACGGGAGCTTCCAGACTACTCACCCAGGGCTCTGCCTGTGCCTGCGCGGCCGGGAGAGGGTGGGGGGTGTGCAGCCCAGCGCTCGGCTCCGCGCAGAGCTCCGCCGGTTGCCGCTGTGCGCTGGGTTGCGCGGGAGGGACGGGGCAGGGCGGGCAGCGCTCGGCTGACGAGGAGCCGGGAGCCTCCTCCTGCTCGGCGGCTGCTGCCCGGCCGGCCGGCGCGGAGAGGATGCTCCCCGCGCTCAGGAGCCGGAATTTGCGAATGCTCAGCCTTCCCCGCAGCGATGGTATAACACACGCCTCCCCCCTCCGCCCACCTCAGGCTGTCCCGCCAGCTCCCCCCCCTCCTCCTCCTTTTCCTCCTCCTCCTCCTCCACCCCGCATCCCCGCCCGAGCATCCCCAGCCCCTCGCAAAGCAACCAGGGCCCGGCTTCTTGCACACACACACACACACACACACACCCCCGGCTCCCCGCTACGCGAGGGGGAGGCGACCCGCGGGCGGCTGGCGGAGGGGCCCGCGGTGGCGGCTCGCTGCGCACCTGCGGAGCCCGGCCCCGGCCCCGCCGCAGCCGGGGCTTGGTGGGGTGGCGGCCTGGCAAAAAAAAGGAACCCGCCGAAAACAGATGACAGTGGCTTCAGCTAGAAAAAGGCGGGAGGGGGAGGGGGAGGAGAATGAGATAAAAAAAAAAATGTGGGGGGAACATTTGGGAAGTGTGGAAACAATGTGGGCGCTTTTGAGTTACGCTGGGAAAATGCAGAAATGGCCCACGTGGGCATTTCTAGCTGGGGTTTTGCTTAAAATTGAAGCTAAATGAGTGTAAAATAGAAGCAAGAGCAGGAACAAAATAATACACACTGGTTTGTTTCAGGTTGAATGAACTATTTTAAATAAATAATTTATTTTCCACTTAATTTTCTACACACATACATCCCCCCTTTATTTTTTTTTTGGTAGGTCAGTTATTTCCACCCCATGTTTCTCAACCCAGACTAAATACCTCTTCCATTACCCTTCTCTGCAGCTTCTCCTTGGCAAATGGCAAAACCCAACTCAGGTTTTAGCTTCAAATCTTCCCTCAGATCCCACCTCTCAGCTGCAGCTGTGATCACCAGTGTTTTGCTCTGCAACTACAGGAGATGCACTTTGGAACACTGTCTCTTCAACCCTGCATTACGTGTAAGCGTGCTGGAGGGTGCTGTCCCAGAGCCAGCGTGCCCTTCCACTGAATTCCCTCCCTCTTGCCCTCCAGCTCCGTGGACTTTTCACACTGCCAGGAAAACTGTGATCCAGTGCTCACTGAAGACAATGGAAAGATGCCCATGGATAGATTTTATATTAACTTTAGCTGACTTTGGAACTAGAGCTTGATCATACCCTGCTTATAGATGTAGCCTCAGTGTGTTTACATGCTGAAGCTCCTACTGTGGTTAAATTTTTTAGCATTTTGCTTTTAAATTATGCATGCCTCAAGAGTTGGGACCTCACCTTACATTCTCTGTCAACTACATCACATAAACACTTGTACATAACAGGTGCAGGAGGAGGTCCTTTCTTTTCTTATTGATACCAACATATATAGCACTAGTTAAACTTGCATTGTGAAATTAAAAACTGCTAGTGGTAAAACTTTGATAAAACTGCAGAATTCTGATTTTTTTAAAAAATATCCTCTACACAGATATCCTCCACAGATATCATTACCAGAGCTGAGTTTGGGTGGTCTTTTTGTGGTTTGTTTTGTTTTGTTTTTAATGCAGCTGGTATTCATTAACAGAGAATGGAATAGATCCATTTTTCCAAACCTGGCTTTGTACAAGCTGAACTCAACTTTGAGGGTTTTTTGTTGCTTTATTTCTTCCCCCTTCTTCATCTAGTTTTCAGCAAGGATCACAACAAGCATTGTTTTTCTGTATTCCAGCCAGCCTGAGCACGGCTCAACAGGATACACTTCAGCATCAAAGCTGAAACTCATTTTATTCCTGAGAGTAATTCTAAAAATGGAGGGAAGCTAAGGGACAGTAAACATTTGGCTGATGATTCAATACACGGGAGAGATCAGTCTTCTTCAGCTAGACTACTGATACCAAAATGAAGGGGCCTGCACCAATGGACAGTCTATAGGATGACTGGCAAATGCAAAAGGTGTTCAATCACTGTTGTTTTGTTCAGTATTTGAAATTATTAATTCCTGGTGACAAGTATTTTATCCACTGCTGTATTCTTGCACTGATTCCCATTCAGTCTCCTACCAATTTAAGTGTTTATGGAAGTAATTGCTAGCTTCTAATCTTTGTGAATACCTTACTGAAATGTTGCACAGTGTTTGCAACATAAAACTTTCCAAATTTTAAAACAGGTAGATAACCCTGTTTTTAATCTGGTGGAGCCTCCCCTATTGAATGAAAAAAAAAATCTGTGGATTACAGGCTACATCTCAGTTCACATACTAACCTAGTGTGTCTCATGCTCCTCATCACGAATTCATGCCTGCTTCTGTCAGTCTGTTGGGAGATCTGCACGTGACATGCAATCAGAGCTCAACTCAGTGACCAGGATGAAAGCAAACCTTGTAACATGGTGGTACTATAAGACAAGAGACTGACAATTAGCAATATAAGAAGGCTGTTACTAGTTAAACAAATATTTACTACTAAAACATCCATTAACTAAAATATTAGTACATATTCTGTAGAATGGCTAGCAATATCACACATCAAATAATCTAGTTATGTCCAAGTAGATGTCTTTGGAATTGTCTAATCCACTCCTGACAATGTAGCATCAGTTCTGCAGAAGCATTTAGAATTGTTGCCTCCAACCCAGTCACTAGAAGTTCATTCCCTGGCCATTCCTCTCAAGTCCCACATTAAAATAACGTGACCTAACAAAGCAATTCAAGTTCTGCCTTATTCAGGTCTATCTCCACATTTCCAAGGAAGCCATTAAAACTCCATGTAGAAAACAGACAGAGGTGGGAGTGGAAACCAGATATTTCTGCTAGACAAAGAAGGGTGCTGCGAAGTACCAAATGTTCTAAGACTACACTTACAAACTAAAATTAATAAAGATGAGGAATTGATGTGTAGAGTAACTTGGAAAAAAACCTCCAAGAAAAAGCCACAATCCCAGGATGCTGAAATACATGGCCCAGGTGCACCGAGGAATATGCACTGTACCAGGCTTCTTTGGTTACTGCCAGAACTCATATTCAACCTACCTTTCCATTTATTCTGTTCTGGGACTTCTACCTGGTCCATACTTTCAGGACACAAATATACTGAGTGTTAAGACATACCAACACATGTGGAGGATTAACTCTTCTGCTTTTTTCCTCCTTTGTGTTCAAACCCTACACAATTCAGAAGGCATGTAAAGAAAACTTCATGATACAGTTGCACATTTTGCTCCTCATCCTTTGGACGTATAACTTTTTTTTTGGAAATCCAGACACTTTGCTTATCCTGCACTTCGGATCCGTGTTAGGATACCTCACTTTCTGTAGCACTACAGTCAGACGAGAGTGAAGTCTCGTGTTTTGGCCCACATATGTGACTATTTTGCATTTTTTGCTGAAGAAATAAACAAAAAAGAGACAATAAATAGCTGTCTAAAAAAGAATTCTGATTAGGATTAAAGCTACCATGAACAGAGGCAATTTCCTAATAGAGATATTAATGCAATGTTCATATGAGTGTTTAATGTGAGCAAAATTCATGTTATATAGCTTAGGAAATGAAAAGGCTTGGGCTTGACTCCATTTCTTCTTATTATACCACTGTAACTGTTGATTTCTGTGTTGCTTCAACAATATAGAACCCTGTGTCAATATAATTGAAGGGTGGAGGGAACAACAATCCTCTCCAGATATAAAAGCTTTAGTTTAGATTTGATATAAACAAAATCTGCACGAGACTTATGTAAAGATTTCACCAAGTTAGACTCTTCATGGATAAATAGCTACACAAAAGCAAAGAAACACAATAAGAATTTCATCAGTGATAGAGATCTAACACAATATTTTGGATCAGAAGCCTAAGATCACGAAGCAATTTGTGAACAAATAGGACACCTTTAGCTATGCTATTACAGACCAGACTTAAGTCAAAAAGCAATAGGCTGTCAGTTTTCTGCCACTGGGAAAAAAAAAAAAAAAAGATTTATTTGTTGCAGATAACAACTTTAAGTTAATCAACAAGTGACTGTTTGGCTTCTATTTAGAAAGGCTTAACAGCTATCATTGTAGATCCCTCTTTCTCAAATTTATTGCCCATGACTCACAATGGTTGAGATGCTGAATTTAGAGTTCGAGAGCTGTGAAAGCCACTTTTTCATCTATTGATATTGCCCCCGGGGTGCCCTCTCTTGACCCTTGTTGTTAGTCTTAGATCCATATTTTCTTTGTTACAAACATTTTATCTTCCAGACCATCTTATCCTCTAAACAGGAGTGTGTGATACATTCCACAAACCAGGTTTTCTGCTACAGACTTGTGCTAAGACGTCTTCATCTTTGAATCGCCTCTGAGGCTGTGAAAGGGTTAACTTCAGTTCCCTTCCAGGGTTCCTCGGTGCCTTTTGTCAGACAGACTTTTCTGACAGCTATGCAGTGACTGCTTGTATTTTAGTATATGACAACGGCGATCTGACATCTCATGAAAAAGGTGGTACACCTCATGGGTTCCTCATGTTGCCAGACACAGGTAAGCCCCATTCCCATTGCGGTTTATGGAGACACCCCTCTGCTAATGTGGCTAATAGTATCTTGAGCTTCCTAAACATGAGCTTTACAGACAGACAGCACTTGGAGAGAACCTCCAATAGTGAGGCTTATACACAACTTCCAAGAGTTAGCAGTCATCTATCCACACTGAACAGAGACCCTTTCTATGTCATGTCATAATCATATCTGCTGACTTAGCTAACAAAAGCATGTTGTTTCTTGGGGCTCTAAGTGCTAGCAAAAGTAAACAAACAATAAGCAAGAAGTTATTTTTATGAAAAAAAGCATCCTCATGCCTCTAACTGTAAACCTGGAGGCACTGTACTTCTGAACAAGACAACATAAAGTGCATTTCTACACCTTGATGAAAAATAAGCACCCTCCAGTAGTTTAATGTGTATGCAGCCAAAGGTGTCCAACAAGACAGAGGTGAAGAGTAAAATGCACTAGTTTTTTGTGAAGAGAGGAAAATACTTATCCATATAAAGGACAGCACTAAAAGAGAAGATACCCGTGGAATTATGTTTTAATGTGTCTTACAGGTGAGACCAAATAAAAAAAATA